CTTCCCCTTGGGTCCTTTTGGAGTAGAGTGTGGGGGACTGTTCCAGGCCGAGCAGCCACATCGATAGGGTTGGATGTCTACAAATTAATTAGACCACAGCTTAGGATGCACAAGAAAGCCAAGTTTTGTTCTTTTTACAAAACAGTAGAAATGAAGCATTCGCTCTCATTCTGAATTACTACTTTTTTTTTTTTAGAACTTTTATCTGTGTATGCTGTTAAGTTTGTGTCTGAACCTGGAGAGCCATGGGGACCCTTTATTCTCCGTCTCCATAGAACTGAGACTGCAAAAGTACATATACTACTGGACTAGTGATGGGGATGGGAGAGGGCTGGCACAGAAGGCTCAACATTTTCCCTTATACTTAGAGATTTGGGGGGTGTGGGTGTCTGAGCTCACAGGAGTAGGGCCTGTGTGTGAGTTTAATACATTAGTGAAGGTACCAGAGAGGTTCTAAGGCTCAGATTTTGGGCTGGAGGGGTGGCTCAGCAGTCAAGAGTGCTTGCTGCTCTTGTAGGCAAGCTGGGCTCAATCCCCATTACCAATATCAGATGGCTCACAACTGCCTGGAATTCCGTCTCCTGAGGAGTCTGATGCCCTGGGGCTCTTGGGCCCTGTGGTCCCAGGCACATACACAGAGACACACAATTAATTTTTTTTATCTTAAAAATGGCTGAAATTTAGGACCCTAATCCTATTGACCCATCCTCACCCCCCCATCCAGGGATGAGCAAGGAGCTCAGCAGCTAAGGGAAGGTAGTGAGTAAGAAGCCACAGGCAGCTGGTCCCCTCTCTAGGATCTAAAAGCGCTAGGGGGTAACTTTACCCTCATACCCTCTTCCCTGCTGGCCCACACCACTAGCTGCCACCACTGTTCATTTATTATTCTTTTTTTTTCTTCATGCTTTACCACCAGACATTGAGAGAATTTCTTAAGTTCACTATAATTATAGTGTCCACAAGAGGTGAATCTTTCAGAGGGCTGACAGGGTTGTACAGACACCGAGCTACCTACACAGCACAACTGGTAGGTAACAACAAGAAATTACACTCAGTAGCTACTCATCAGCAATGGCAGGAAGGGGACAAGAGAACCTAATTTAGGGACGATGTAAAATTTACTAGTAAACTCTGCTGCCTTTCTTTCGATTCCCATCGACCACTATTAACAGCACTGCTAGACATTTTGTCTTCTGACTCAACAACAATAACAAAAAAGCCTCTTCAAAGGGAATAGTTACTGTCTTGTGGGGAGATTTTTAAAAATAGTAGAAGGTTTTGTTGTTGTTGTTGTTTGTTTGTTTTTAGTTGTTTCTCTTTTGAGATAGGGGCTTTTACTGGCTGGCCTGAAACTTGCTCTGTAGACCAGGTTGGCCTTGAACTCAAGAGTTCTGTCTGCTTCTGCCTCTTGGACTGGGATTGAAGGTGCATGCCACTATGCTCAGCTGTGGGAGCTATTTTCTCTTTTATATATCTTATATAATTTTTTTATATATTTTATATATTATATATGTTACATGTATCCAATCATCTTTATGTGTGTGGGTCTGAGTGTGGATGTGTCTGTATACATGTGTGTGGAAGTCAGAGCCCAACTTGAAGGAATCAGTTCCTTTCTTCCACCATGTGGCT